TCCAGCTGGTGCTGGTTGAAAGTCTTTAACCGAACAACAAATGTTTGCTTAGTGGCAAGATGAAGCCGCCTCCACATCTTCAAGGGCAGCAGAGGATTAACCATCCAGGAACTTGGCAAACCTGGCTCTGACCCTCTCGGCTTCTCTGTCTCACCTTCTGGAATTGCCTTATTATTTTCGGTTTGTCATGCCTTTGGGGCAGAATGTATAGGGCTCTCTGCTCCTCAGGGCTCCTGGCTGGAATCCTCACTGATTTTCTGTTACGGGCAGCACTCATGGCACCCTCACCACTCATCTCCCTTAAAGAGCTGTGGCTCATTTGAATCCTCCACCTGTTGGGACTGAGGGTGACAGTGGGGGAGGGAGAAAGGAGGTAGCCTAGCCAGAGGCTGCTGCTTTCCTTCAGTTGGCAGCCCCACCCTCCCGGCGTGGGGAGAGGTTGGAGTGGTGGATTCTGAGCAGAGCCAGGTCTCCCCCAGTGAGCCCTTCCCCAGCCCGGGCACCCTGCCCAGCCCAGCCCTCCTGGGAGGCCCTACTTCCCTCTTAGCAGACTGACCTTTGTGCAGATCCAAGTGCTTTAGAACTAGAACATTTGTTCTGGGTGAGGGTCTCTGTCTAATTTTCGAAATGGTCGACTCCTGCAGGGAATCCCTCCCAGAAGACTTCTCCCTTGCCTCCCTTCCACACCCATTGGGGTTCTAGGATAAACCCGGGTACTAGGCAAGGTAGTGATAGAGAATGGGTGAGCTTTTCTTCTCTCTCACCCTTGGTCACTGTGTGTGTTGAGAGGGCCTAACCATGGGGGATATCTTTAGGCTGAGGGTGATAATAAGGTCTTGGTGGCTGTTTACAGCAAGTTCTTGACATGTCTCCTTCCCAAACTTGTTCTACATCTCTGCCCACATCCCCACTCTGTCACTCCTTGGTTGTAGAGAAGGAAGGAGACAGTGGAATTTTCCAACCCTGATGGGGGTTGAGGGAGGAGGGCTGTTGGCCAGGGACGGTTACATCCAGCACCGGCAGGTTCTAAGGTGCCCCTGTGGTAGAAGGTGGAGCACTCAGTTCCTTCAAGGTGCCTTTGCCTTCTCCTCCGCCCTTTCCTCCTGAAGTCCAGATTCATACTGAGGTTTTAGGTGTACTTCTCTCTACACCAGCTTCTGGGGTGCCTTGTCTACCCCTAACTGTGGAAGCTGGAGCAGATGGGCCCACCAACCTTAGGAATGGACATTTAGTGGGGGACCTCAGTGGAGCTGAGCACTTTACCAAAGTCACCCCCTTAACAAACCATCCTGTTCTGCAGGAATGACACCAAGGAGGATGTCTTTGTTCACCAGGTAAGAGCTAGGCTGGCTTTCTGGGGGGAAGAACCAGCCCTCTCTTTGAAGGCCTTTGCCATCCTTAGCAGCGTGGTTGGTTGTGTTTCTCCGGCTTTTCCTTCACCATGGCCTGCCCACCAGGAAATAGCTCCCCTCCCACCTGCTCAGTTGCCTGTATCAACCATTAGCCCCACTTGTGTTGGGTTATTGAACGTCTGTCAGAGTTGTGCGTGTTTTGCCCTCTGGGCTTGGCATGCTCACTACCTTCTGGGACCTGTTGACACTTCAGGAAGACTCGGGCACTTTTCAGAGGGAAAAGATACTTGGATGCAGTGGTTCTCAAAGTGTGGTCCCTGCGCCGGCAGCATCACCTGACAGCCAAATTCTCAGGCCCCACCACAGACCTACTGAATCAATCAGATGTGGGGCTGGGGCCCAGCAATCTGTTTTAACAAGCTCTCCAGGTGATTCTGATGCATGCTGCAGTTTGAGAACCACTGCTTTGGTGGAAAGCGCTCTCAGTGGGATTGAGGTAAGAAGCACAGCACGTTTTACCCACTTTGCGACTTAAGACTCTCTGCTGTTTGTTTTGCCTTTAAGCTCATAATTCTTGCCTCCCTTTTTGAAATCCCTGAGGGGTAAAGGGGGAAGGGAATGTGTCCTGGGGACAGTGGTAACTGCACAGTCGTTCCTGAGGCAACTAGTTGATGACCTTTCCCCTACTAAACTTTGACCACCCTCTCCTTGCTCCACCCTCCAGCCCCAGACCCCAAATAAAAAGTTGCAAAGAATGAAATTGGGTGGTGGACCCAGCAGGGGCCAGAGAGACTCCTGTCTTGCTGTCAACCCTTTCTCACTGACTTTCCCCCATTCAGACAGCTATTAAAAGAAACAACCCCAGGAAGTTTCTACGCAGTGTTGGAGACGGGGAGACTGTGGAGTTTGATGTCGTGGAAGGAGAGAAGGTTTGGGGGCTGCTGTGGGGTACTGAGTCATTGCAGGGTTCAACCCTCCTGGGGCTATCTCTGCCTTGGCTGTGGGAATGGGACTGTGTTCTCTCAGCCAGAGGTGGTCATCTTTAAGGCTACGGCTACTCTAAGGGATGGTCTAAAGAATATGTCCCTATCATCAGTCTATAGTGTCTGGATTTTGTCTCCATAGTTCTCCAAGCACTTCTGCGTCTGTTCTCCACGTGGGGCCCTGTCCCTGAAGGACCCTTCTCAGAGTCAGCGCTCTGGAGTAACAGACGCATGCCTGCTGCCAGGCCTTCCTCCACCCCTGCCCTTCCCCCAGCCTTAAACTTAGGAGGCTACAGTAGCAGTTCTTTCAAGAGGACAAGTTGCTCCTTGCCAGATGGGTGCAAACACTGTATTGGCCCTTGGGAGGGTAGAAAGAAGTAGAAGTTAGAGGAGCTAAAGGAAAGTTGGAGGAGGGGACTTCCCCTAGAAGGGGAAGACATGAAAAGAGTCAAGCAAGTTCGTGCATTTGGAGCAGGTTCTGACTATTCCCTTTCCACCTTCCCAGGGTGCAGAAGCTGCCAATGTAACTGGGCCCGGGGGAGTGCCAGTGAAGGGCAGCCGCTATGCCCCCAACCGACGCAGGTTCCGCCGATTCATCCCCCGGCCTCGCCCAGCTGCCCCCCCACCCATGGTGGCAGAGGCTCCCTCAGTGGGGACAGAACCTGGGAGTGAAGGGGAGCGGGCTGAAGACTCCGGGCAGCGGCCCCGACGACGGCGCCCACCACCCTTCTTCTACCGAAGGCGGTTTGTGCGAGGCCCTCGGCCCCCCAACCAGCAGCAGTCTGTAGAGGTGAGGGGAAGCCAGTTACCCAACTTCTGGGAGTTGGTAAGGAGAAAGTCCACAGGGTCCCCAAAGGAGGTGGGAAGAGCTGTGGAGAGCCTGGTCCCAGGGTGGCTGGTGTCCCCACAGCTCACCTGGGCCTTTATGTTTCTAGGGCACTGATGGGGTAGAACCCAAAGAGACAGCCCCACTGGAGGGGGACCAACAGGGAGATGAACGGGTCCCCCCACCCAGATTCCGGCCCAGGTACCGAAGGTAAGACTCTCTTCTTGGGGCTCTGTCCTTCCCTCCCCAGCCAATGTTGGGGAGGGAAGGGGCCGGAGGACAGGAAGGGAAGAGCCTGAAGCCCCTGGTGAGAGGTGCCTAGAGGCAAGTGGGTGCTCATGGGCTGGAAGCCTGGCTCCTGGAGGTGGGAGCGGGGCAGCTGGGAGACCTGGGAGGAAGGTGGTCTACCCATGGTCCCTTCAGGGCCCCTGTCTCTCTCCTTAGGCCTTTCCGCCCCAGGCCACCCCAGCAGCCAACGACAGAAGGTGGGGATGGTGAGACCAAGCCCAGCCAAGGCCCTACTGATGGTTCCCGGCCTGAACCCCAGCGCCCACGAAACCGTCCTTACTTCCAGCGGCGACGGCAGCAGCCCCCTGGCCCCCGGCAGCCCGCAGTCCCGGAGGTGAGGACCCTGGGATGCCTAATCTGCTGTGGGATGAATGAAAAGGCTGGGACCAGCTCCCCCTCCCGCCTTTCTGTCCTTTTCTTTTCCCTTCCCTTCTTACTCTACCCCTTTGCTCCCCTGTCCCCTGGCCCTGCACCCACCAGGAAGCCCCAGCAGAAGTGATCTAGCCCGTGTCACCCCTGCAGAGTCCCCCTCAGCTCTGCCTGGAGCCACATCACCAGCTTGTGGATGTGAATTGGGGAACTGGGGTGGGGGGAATGGGGGGGAAAGGGAAACGTTGGGAGAAGGTTGAAGTTGGGGACCCTAAAGAACAAGGGAATCTCAGTTGGCCACCGCTGTTCTCTAGACCTCAGGCCCCATCAACAGTGGGGAACCCCCCACTGCCATACTGGAGTGATTCCAACTCAAGGGACACCCAGAGCTACCATCTGGTGAGTGGCTGCTCTACTCAGGGCCGGTGGCCAAGAGGCGGGAGACTGGGTCTTTATGATAAGTTGCTCTTATTCATGGTTCGTGCATTTCTTTCTCTCTCTCAGGTATCTGCCAGTTTTTCCAACTGACCTGTACCCTACCCAGCACCCCCTCCCCCCTTTCCCATAATTCATGACATCAGAACACCGGCTTTTCCCCTTTTCCTTGAGACTCAGGAGGGCCAAAGCAACAGCCTTTTGCTTTTTTTTTTTTTCCCACTTAGGGATCCATCCTTCTTGTTCAGAGGTACCAACTCCCTCCCCTAGATCAGGCTGAGAAGGAACCAGCCAGCTCTTACCTCCTCCTGGTTGTTTTTCTTTCCCACCCCAGTTTATTTTTTGTTTCCCTTCCACCTACCTCTGAAGCCATTTTATGAACTGTCATGTGCCACCTGAGCCTCCAGTAAAAACAAAAACAGGCTTTCCTGTTGTCTGGTCTCTGCCTCTTTTCTGTTTTGAGAATTGCCGGTAACTTACTGTTGAGCCATGGTGAGGAGGATTTGGGGCCATGGGCAGGGCCTGATCTTGAACCCTTGCTCCAGTGTTTCTAGCTGGACAGCTCTGAACAAGTGCCTTCACCCATGAGATTTGCTGTCCCATCTGTAAAATGGGCTAACACCTCCCTTGCAGAGCGAGTGTTTTGCAGAGTGCCAAGAGCAGTGCCCAGCACTTGCAGCTACAATTTATTGAGCATTCACTGTTAATAAAGCCACTCATAGAAATGTAAGTAGAGGCATGAGTAACTGCATCCAGAGGATTCTGAGTCCTTGAACTGAGGAAGAGGGAGGAGGGGGAGTTATGGTCCCTGTTTCAGCCCATCCTTGAGTAGCCTCCATGACAGGACGCTCACCTTCAAACAGTGACTTTATAGATGTATCTATATGTACACATTTAGTACAACAGACCTTTGGTTTCTTTTTTCTACCTCTTTTTCACGTATACAAAAATATCTGAAGGCTCCTCCCAGGCCAGTGTTTACAGGCAGCCTTTCAATTCCCCTCTTTCCCTTAGTTGGTCAAAAGCCTGTGGGGATAGCACCCTCCCAGGCAGGGAGAGGAAGAAAGAGCTAGAGTCCTTGCTTGGCAGCCTTGGGGGACAATCGGGGTAGGGCCCCTAGCCCTAAATTTAGAGGTGGGAGTTTGCCGTCCCTTCCTCTTACCATACATGGGCACATACTTTTCCTGTTTCCTCTCGCCCTGGAAGGCTGAGCCTGCAGTGACAGAGGTCGAGTCCTTTGCACAGGAGGGGACAAGACAGAATCCCATTCGCCCAGAGTCCATGTGGCAAGAATTCAGTGAAGTCCCAGGTCATGGGAGGAGTGCAAGGTGGTGGGAAAGTCACATCCTGCTCTCTGCTTCAGTTTGTCCCACTGAAAAAGTCAGTCTGGCCTCTTCTCCCTCCAATCCCTCTTCTCTAGCAGGGAAAGAACTTATTCTGGAGCGGAGTCTGGGGAGGGGTGGGGAGGAAAGGGCTGGACTACGTGGGAAGGGGACAGTGGCCCACCCTGATGGCCACAGCGTAACCACAACACATAAATATCCAAGAGTCACACAATGGGAGCGAGGGGGTGCTCAGACCACCCTTCCCTCCCGCTTCCCAATTTTACCAGGTTGCAGAGGTTTTCTCCACCCTGGCAGTGATGGGGAAGAGAGGGTTAAAGTGCTGCAGAGGAAAGGAGGGGGTCTCTCTGGGGGGGTAGAGAAAGCTGGCTTTCCCACCCCTGCCTTGCCCCCTCAGTCATTCTCATCTGGCCCTAAGTACTCAAGTTCTGTGCTGGGTTTCACTTCCTGCTCTAAAAGAGAGGGTGTCCGGCGGAAGGTGGCTGAGATCTGGTCAAATGTCCGGCCGCGGGTTTCAGGTACTCTTAGGAAGGTGAAGATGAAGAAGCTGAGGAGGAGGCCCGCAAACAGGAGGAAGACGTAGGGACCCATGGCATCCTGGGGCGGGTGGAGAAAGAGGTGTTGACAGCGTGGGGTGGGGAAGGAAGGGGTGACTTCAGGCAAACCAAGAACTAAAGGCTCTCACGGGGCTGAGGCTACTGCAGAAAGCAGCTGGCTCCTTTGAGGGACAAGGGAAATCACTGGGAATGAGAAGTCACCCTGAAAAAAGGATTCTCTGAACCCCAACTCTCCTTTGGTTCTCTGCCCCCTTCCCCATCCTGAGTTACGGCACTCAGGAGATTCCCAGCTGTTTGTAGTATGAAAGTCTATAATTTTATTCCTGGTCTAAGTTAGGTTATGCCACTGGTTTATTTTGAAGACAACAGTCACTATCCAATCTAGGTCTTCCCCCTTCTTTCCTCTGATACTGGTGGATCAGGCAGTTCACCAAAGTGATCCAAAGACCAGTGGCCAGCAGCTGGGGGAGTCCCCGACCAGAAAGCAGTGGGCTGGCTGTGAGTCGTCCCCCTGCCTACAGTGTGGGAGAGGAGCCTGGGGGAGGAGTGGGGACCTACCGCAACATACTGGAAACCCATGCCAATGATGAAGTTGCATGTCCAGTTGGAGAAACCAGCCACAGCCATGGCTGCTGGGCGGGGTCCCTGGCTGAAGAGCTCGGCCACGATGAACCAGGGGATGGGGCCAGGCCCGATTTCAAAGAATGCCACAAAGCCAAAGATGGCCACGATGGAGACATAGCTCATGGCTGGAACCCGCTCCTAGGGCCAGGTAGGGAGGGGAGGGTATCCAATTCAGGCCTTTCTGGATCTTCCCTTGCCCTCAACCTGGCGGGAAACTGAAATCTACCCCTCCCAGCAGCTTGTGAGGGGCCTGCGCCCTGGGTGGGAACAGGCCCTTGAGCATTTCTGAGCACTGACGTTCTGCCGGCTACTTCAATCAGATTCAAGGCAGAGGAAACGTCATGGCCTCTCAGCTCTTATGACGGTTGATTCCTCCTTGGCTTTAAAGCTAGGTCATTAGAAATTATTGTTCCTGAGGCTTGACAGGGGCTCTCTCTCCTGGCTGCCAGAGGAGACCATATCCTCCTCCCCCAAAGCAGGCCTCAGTGCAGCCTGGGTCCTTCAGGAGCACAGACCACAGTCCCAGCAGACTCTGGTGCCAACCACCCACAGTCCTGGCACAGAGGTGGCCCCAGGATTAAAGGTGTGTATGTTAAGGAGTGGTCCTGGTTGGCCACAGAGCCTCTTGGGGCTGTTCCCATGGGCTGGGCTGCTGGTCCCCTGCCAGCCCTCCGGCCTCACCAGCAGGAGCAGAGCGACAGTCATCAAGATGGCACAGCCACACATGCCCGCCAGGCCCAGGAGATGGAGCGTCCGGCGCCCAGCCCGCTCCACCAAGAACACCTGTGGGAAGAGTCAGAGCTTGGCAGGGGGCCTTCAGGACACAGGAAGTGGGAGGGTTTGGGTGGGCAGGGAAACCAAGAGTGGGATCTCTGGGACATCCAGGGACATGAAGCCAGTGGCGTGGGCCATTCCAGAAGGGAGCAGTTACCGAGACCAAGGTGAAGACTGTGTTGACCACACCAGCTCCTATGGTGGCATAGGCTGGCTGGCCTACCCCTGCTGTCTCAAAGATGCTGGTCGAATAATAGAAAACCTAGAGGTGGGGGAGAAGAAAAGGTGATGGCAAGGATGTCCGTTCCTCCACTCCAGCCACAACAAGGTGGACCTTGAGTTTTAATGGAGGGGGCTTGCTCCCTTCTCCCGTCCCCTTGGGCTATTGCCTGCCCCAGGCCCTGCCTAGAGGCTGCCCATACATACAGCATTGATGCCAGAGAGCTGCTGGCTCAGTTGCAGCACAACTGCAATGATCAGGGGTTGCCGGTGGGTATGGCTGCCCAGGAGCTGGGGTAGGGACAGTGGCCGCTCACGCTCCAGCTTCCGCTTCTCATCCTTCAGCTCAGCGAGAGCTCCAGACACATCGGCCCAGCCTGTGAGGCGCTTCAGACCTGGGGGTGGGAGGTTGGGTCTGAGGGGTCAGGCCCAGGTGCTAGCGAGAGGGGGTGGAGGCATGGGCCAGGCTAGACTGCAGGGTGAGAGCTCACTCTTTCTGGCAGGCCCCTCCAGGTTCCTGATGATGTAGAGGTAGCGGGGGCTCTCGGGGCAGAAGGGCAGCAGGGCCAGCTGCAGGAGGGCAGGTAGCACTGTGAGGCCCAGGAGCAATGGCCATAGGGCAGCAGTGCCCAGCAGGGAATCCAAGCCCAACACCTGCAGAAGAAGGTTAGGAAGGAGGTAAGGCCCCGCTGCCTTACCCTGGAGGTCTACCCGAACCCCTGCCCAGCCCCCCATGAGGCCAGGCCTGGTCACCTGGGCGATCAGAATGCCAGTGACGATGGCCAGTTGGTTGAGCGTCCCCAAGGCGCCCCGCAGGTGAGTGGGGGCAATCTCCCCCACGTACATGGGCACTAGCCCCGATGTCAGCCCTGGGCAGAGGGAAGAAGAGAGGGCTGAGGGTAGGTGCCCACTCCCATCTGAAAGCCCAAGCAGGGTGAAAGAAAACAGGGCACTTGGCAGGGCTGTGGTGCCTGTGGGTACCTGAGTAAGCGCCAATGATGAACCGTCCCAGAATGAGCATCTCATAGGAGGCAGCGGCGTTGGCCAGGCCCATGAGGGTGCCCCCCAGCACCGCCAGGACATTGTTGACCAGCATGGCCCTTTTCCTGGTAGGCAGGCAGAGTGGGGCTGTGAGGGTTAGGGCACTGTGCTGTGGCTCCCTCCCCGTTCCCTCACCCTGGCCCTCCAGCTCCAAACCTTCCAAGCCACTGAGAGATGATGCCAATCAGGAAGGAGGAAATCATGCCGCCCACAGAAAAGATGGCCACGGAGAGAGCCCAGAGGGTGGTGAGGGTGCCCGGTGGGATGGAGTTGGGTCCCTCAGGCCCCTGCCTCCCCAGCCACGTCTCATTGTAGCTCTGTTCAATTACCTGGGGGTACAGCGCAGGAGTGATTCCCTACACACCCTTCCCATTCCGCCAAACCTGAAGCTCCCGTCCTCTTTGAGCACCCCCACCTCACCAGCTGTAGGCCCCTCACCTTCTGCGGGGCATTGATGACCCCAATGTTGTAGCCAAACTGCAAGGAGCCAAGCACGGCAGTGAACACAGCAAGGGCCAAGGTCCCAGTTACTCCCTGCTGAGGGGGTTCTCCATCCTGGACAGGCAGAAGCAGACAGGGGGCATGTCATATGGATCCATGCTTTCCTGCTCCTAGGGGCCCCGGCCCAGCTGGAGCCTGAAGATACTGGGTTCCATCCAACATGTTGGGTGAGGGAAACTGGCCCATATTAGGAGTTGCACAAAGATCTCAATGTAAACAAGAGCACACAGAACTCAACAGCGGCACGGCAGGGGAGAAACTAAACGTTTGAGTCCACAAGGCAGACGAATGTTTGAGGACTTAAACATCAAAATCCTTCTGTGACCTTGGGACAGGGTTGGCCTTAAGAGTTCAGATTTGTGTGACCTTGGGCAAGTCACTTCCCCATTCTGAACCTAGGGTTCCTCTTCTGTGAAATGCAGGTGATGTTGCCTACCTTGCCTACCTGTCACTGAGAGTGTTGTGAAAACCAACATCAAATATTAACAGTATTCCTGACAGTGCTGGTTTTACAAACTAGCAAGTGCATTGTTATCATCAGCTGTCCTCTTCCCTGCCCTCTGGGGGTTCTCTCAGCTAGCTCCAGGAGTCTCTCAACAGGCCCAAGAAGTGCAATTCCATGGTCATCTCCAGACGGCCTTTTTTATCTCCGGGGCAGCCTCCCATCCCCCTCTAAGCTCGACCAACGACAGGGGACGGTGCAGGGGTTCTGCCTGAGAGAGCTATGCCCAGGGGAGGAGGGCGGGAAGGTGGTGTGAGGGGCGGTGGCAGTGGTGGCCGCTCGCTGGCGGCACAGACTGTCTCCAAGCGGAAACCTGAGCTGGGGTAGGGGGGGCTGACGCTCCCCTCTGCCCCTCCACCAACCATGGGGCCAAGGGAAAGTTCAGCGTCCTGGAGGGCGTCCAGGAGTGGGGGTGGGGGCCCACGCAGAGTCTCCAGTCCTCGAAACACTGCCCACGAGCTGGGACAGACAGACAGCTCCTGGAGGGCAAGATCCGCCTGGATCTGCTTTCCCAAGTTGGATTGAGGGCAGGGTGTCCCCGATTCTGGCGCAACTAGGCAAGGGGACGAACCCTGGACTCGCAGAACCAAATTGTGCCCCCGAAAGGTCTCCCAGACCCACTCCGCGTCCTGGTAGGACTGGAATCCGACAGTCACGGGTTGGCCAGGCAGGGTATAAATAGCCAGCCCCCCACCTCCACCCCCTGCGCCTGCGCAGGGAACGCCCCCAGCTGACCCCACGACCCCACCCCAGGAAAAACGGGACCCGTGCCCCCGCCTCGCCCCCGCACGATGAACCCTACTTCGGAGCCGATCTGTTGGAAGCCTGACGGCATCTTGTCCTTAGAAGAGGTGGAGGCTCAGGGGCTGCGGTGATGAGAGGCGAGTGGGGGATCTGTGGCCCAGCCTGGCGGACAGAGGCCGCGGGGGCCACGGGGGTCCCGGAGCGACGTGCAGAGGGCAGGCCTGGTAGGACTCACAGTCACAAGCCAAGGAGGTAGAAAGCAGCAGGGCGCCCGGGGATCTGTTGGAGCCGGGCTGGGGGAAGAGACGCAAGGAGCCCCCGCCACCTCATCCCCGCCCCCCCAAGGGCCACGCCCTACACAGCACCCATTGGCCAGGAGCCTGCACACCCCAGAAGGCCACGCCCCCCTCCAAGACTGGGGTTTAGTTTGGCTCGAGTTAGTGGGGGTGACCAGTGAGGCCACACCTCCTCAGCGTGGCTGGCGACACACGCCCCTCCGGTTCCCGCCAGCCTGGAGCTGGGAAGTTTTGCGAAAAGGATCCCAAGAACAAAAGGCCCCGCCCACCCACGTGTTAGGACTCCGCCCGCCAGCTAAGATCCCAGGCTTCAGAAGAACCTTCAAGTCTAGCGCCACGGGTCTGGACAGTGGGGTCCGAGAGGAGGGGATGGGCCAGGTGTTCTTGGCCCGGGGCGAGGGCGGAATCCAGCCACGTGAGAGACCGCGCGAGCCGGCGCGCGGGGTGGGTGAGGAGCAATGCCCCGAAGTAACCCGGAGCGGCTATTTTTAGCTCCCGCGTTGGGAGCTGCCAAATGTCAGGTCCCGGGTGTCCCGGCCTGTCCTGGGCGGGGGGAGGACAGGGATATGGAGCCTTAAAGGGTCCATGACACGCTTCCCACGCGGGGGTGGCCTTGGAGGCCAGGAAATTCCGTTCATAAAGGGTCGGGTGGCGGGACTCCGTCCTGTCTTTCAATGTATATCCCCGCTCCAGGCACTGCCTATTCGGTCCTTCCCTTACATATATTTCCCATGTTGGTTCCTGGAGGCGGCCCGAGGGACAGTTGGTCACGCCGACCGCACTACCAGCCCTGAGGTTCCTGAGCTGCCACCATGTGCTGGCCGCGTGGACGACACGCTCTCCAGAGGCCGCTCGAGGTTTGGATTCTCAGCTAAATCCTGCCGAGTAGAGAGGGTGCGATCTAGGGTTGGCTCTCCGGAGACAGAGAAGCGGAGCACGCGGAGTGTGGAGAACGCGCGGCTCAGAAAATGGGCCTCAGAATTGCAGGGCTGTAGTGCCACCTGGAGGGAGAGCGAGGAACCTCAGCGGATTGGACCAGGGTAGTCTCCGACCCCACTGTCCCTTGTCATGCTACCTCCCTAAGGCTTCGGTGACAGCCAACCCAGGCCTCTCTCTAGAGCTCCAGATCCAGGTGTCCAGTTACAGCCTGAATGGGGCAGCTCACGTGATCAGCATGTCCAAACCTGCTCCTCCTCCTAACTTTCTTATCCCAGTGAATTACCCACCCAGTCGCTCCTGTGGTGGAAATCATGCTTGGTTCCTCCTGTCCCGCGCTGCTCCTTTCCTCTTTAGCCAGTTAGACCTCAACATTGGGGTCTTGACCCAAACCCTCTCACATTCGTCTGATTTTCTCCACCTGTACTGCTGCCACGTTAGTCGAGACCACCATCACCCTGACTGGTCTTCCTGCTACTCCTTTTCCCTTACAAAGAGGGCAGAGTACAATTTTCAAAGGTCTGACCTCATCAATCTCACCTAAGACTTCACTGACTCTTTGTTGCCCCCACTGTCAATTTGAAACCCTTTTTCACAGTGAACAAAGCCTCCTGCCTCTCCTATCTCTGCATTGCCTATCTCTCCTGTCTTACCTTCTCTCCTCTCCTCTCATGTTCTGGGCAATGCCTGACTACTTCTACCCAGAACACACTGCTCTTTCAACCCTTCTTGGTGCTTTTGCTGCACTAATCCTCCCCACAATCTGGAATGCCAAAGGACTCCTATTCATCCTTCAAAAAAAGCTCCCCCCACGCCCAACTCCTATTCTACAGGTCTATTTTGCTTCCAGCTTCTGGGGAGAGACCTTGACCTCTGAACTCCAGCAACACTGTCTTTTCTCTATATTTTGTTCATATATTTGAGTCTCAGGTGCACAAGATTGAATTAATGATACAGTTCTTGGCATATTGTCTTCATTGATCTATGTCCTATATTTATTTTAAAAATTATTTATTTCCCAGCCCAGGCAACATAGTGAGACCTTGTCTCTATAAAAAATAAGAAAAATTAGGCCGGGCGCGGTGGCTCATGCCTGTAATCCTAGCTCTCTGGGAGGCCGAGGCGGGCAGATTGAGCTCAGGAGTTCGAGACCAGCCTGAGCAAGAGCGAGACCCCACCTCTACTAAAATTAGAAAGAAATTAATCGGCCAACTAAAAATATATATACAAAAAATTAGCCGGGCATGGTGGCACATGCCTGTAGCCCCAGCTACTCGGGAGGCTGAGGCAGTAGGATTGCTTGAGCCCAGGAGTCTGAGGTTGCTGTGAGCTAGGCTGACGCCACGGCACTCACTCTAGCCCGGGCAAAAAGAGTGAGACTCTGTCTCAAAAAAAAAAAAAAAAAGAAAAATTAGCCAGGTATGGTGTCACGCACCTACAGTCCCTGTTATTTGGGACGCTGAGGCAAGAGAATTGCTTGAGCCCAGAAGCTTGTGGCTGCAGTGAGCTATGATTGTGCCATTGCACTCCAGCCTGGGCGACAGAGTGAGAATCTAACTCTAAAATTAATAATAATAATAATAAATAAAATTATTTATTTCCATATCCATTTTTTTCTTCCTTCAAAAGGCTACCATTTCATTCTCAGAAAAAGATGTTAGGAAAAAAAGGCAACCATTCCAATGCATTTAATGTTCATTTTTTTTGTGTTCTTGCAAAATATGAATAATTTTGTGTGCAAATATTTTTAATTTATGTAAATAGCATCTTGTATATTTCACTCTGCTCTTATTTTCAGTAAGCACTATGTTTTTAAAATCCACTTGTGCTCTATGATTATCAAAGCTATTGCTGCATGACACTCCAGTGTGAATCACACCACATTTTACCTGCCGACAATCCCATGTCACCTCAAATTCCCAACTGCAACAAATAATATGGCAATGAACATTTTCATACAAGGTTCTTTATAGACCCTTGTGAGAACTTCTTTGGAAGATATATCTATGTCTATGTCTATGACTGTGTCTATATTTATATCTAACTGCAGGACCAGAATTGCTGAGTCATAGGGTGTTCTTATACCTAATGACTAAGTACTGCCAGCTTGCTCTTCGGAATGGCTGTCTCATTCTACTTCCATCAGCAGTACAGGAGGGTTCTGCCACCATCCTGTCCTCTCAGTCAGCATCCACCCAGAGGCAGCATAGTTAAGAGTATGGACCCTGGGCCCAAACTGCCCGACTTTGAGCCCCAGCTCTGTTACTTACTAACTTTCTGCCCTTTGAGAGTTACCTAAGCTCTTTATGCCATACACGTCATCTGTAAAACGAGAAGGGAGATAATAATAGTATCTACATCTTAGGGTGTTAATGAAGGTGAATAATATAATATTTATATAGTGCTTAGAATAGATTGAAAAATGAGGTCTTTTGTTTTTGTTTTTAAACACCTCGGCCCAGGTTGGAAACTGAGCAGGTGAAAACTCCTGCACTGATCAGTAGAGGGATTGTGCCCGGGAATAGCCACTGCACTCCAGCCTGGGCAATATAGTGAGACCCCGTCTCTAAAAAAAAATTTAAAAATTAAAAATAGGCCGGGCGCAGTGGCTCATACCTGTAATCCTAGCACTCTGGGAGGCTGAGGCGGGAGGATAGCTTGAGCTCAGGAGTTCAAGACCAGCCTGAGCAAGAGCGAGACCCCCATCTCTACTAGAAATAGAAAAAATTAGCCGGGCGTGGTGGCACATGCCTGTAGTCCCAGCTACTCTGGAGGCTGAGGCAGGAGGATCACTTGAGCCCAGGAGTTTGAGGTTGCTGTGAGCTAGGCTGACGCCAGGGCACTCTAGCCCAGGCAACAGAGTGAGACTCTGTCTCAAAAAAAATTAAAATAAATAAAAATTAAAATTAAAAATAAAGTGTACGATATATTTTGACATATGTATATATATACCTGTGAAACTATCCCTACAATCAAGATAATGAACATATCTTTCACTGCCAATTAAGTTTCCTTGTACCCCTTGGTAATCCCTTCCTCCAGCCCTTTCTCTCACCCCCTAGGCAAGCATAGCACTGATCTGCTTTCTGTCATTATAGGGTAGTTTGCATTTTCTAGAATTTTATGTAAAGGGACTCATACAGGATGTACTTGTTTTGTCTGCCTTCTTTCACTTAACATGATGATTTTGAGATTCATCTATTATGTTGCACGTATCAAGGGTTTACTCCTTTTTACTGCTGAGTAATATTCCATTGTAGAAATATACCACAATTTATTCACTCACCTGTTGATGGATATTTGGGTTGTTTCCATTTTGGGGCTATTATAAATAAAGCTGCAAGGAATATTCAATGTACAAGTCTTTGTAAAGACATATGATTTCATTTCTCTTGGAAAATAGCTAGGAGTAGAATGGCTGGATTATATGATAGGTGTATGTGTCACTTTTTGTGAAACTGCCAAACTGTTTTCCAAAGTGGTTGTACCATTTTACGTTCTCACCAGTAGTATATAAGAGTTCCAGTTTATCCACATCTCCATCAACACTTATATGGTCAGTCTTTTAAATTTTAGCCAGAATGGATTATATGAGATTTTAATCAAATAAATGAGAAACTGTTTGGATTTCTAGTATTCATAAGTAAACTAAGTGAGAGGTGATATCTTACTGCAGTTTTCTTTGATTAGTTATGGTTTGGAATATCCCTTTAAACACTTGTCAGCACTTCGGCTTTCTTCTTTGGCAAATTTCCTACACACACACACACACACACACACACACACACACATATATTTTGGAGTGGGGGTCTCACTATGTTGATGAGGCTGACCTGGAACCCCTGGGCAGCATCCTGAAGCTGAAACTACAGGCTCACGCCACTGTGCCTGCAGTTTCCTCCTTATATTCTTTGCCTCTTTTCTCTTGGAGTATTTTTCTTGTTTATTGGTAAGACTTGTTAAAAAATGGTATCAGTTCCTTGTCAGATTGGACGTTGCAAATATCTTCTCCCATCCTATCATCTGCCTATTAATTTTTCATTGGTGAACTTCATTGAAGAGAAATCCTTTGTTTGGGTGTAATCAAAATGACTATTTTTCTTCTCTTATGGTTTGTGATTTTGAAAA